CGTACCAACAGAAGTTGGCAGTGCGGATGGCCTAAAACAGCAAGCTTCTGTATCAACACGTCAGTAGTCTAGGTAAGGTAAAACGTGGGATTCTTCCTCTTCAAACAGCAGACGGACGCACACGAGACCAAAGGACGCAGCGAATACCATGCGCCTACAACATACGGTTATGTTTCAGTGCACTAAAAAAGCTGTTGAGTATGCACAAACACAGCTCTCTTGGACTTGCTAATCTACGCACGAAATCGCTAGCGACTGTATTAGAGAGTTTAGCAGAGCGTTTGCCTTGATTCTTGCAACACTCTTTTGACGAAATTTACGTACCTGACATGCTTACTTCTATTCACAAGGGAGGTCGTCATTCCAATCCAGCCAACTACCGTCCCGGAATCTTAATACCGGGTCTTTCAAGGCCATAGAAGCTATTATTTTTGATGCACTAACGGCCTGCTTAGAAGAATTTAACTACAGCCCCCTGGAACAGCATGGCTTCTGACGAAATCGATCGTGCACTACAAAGCTACTACTAGCACATCCAGTTAGACTGAAGCAGTGGACTCTGGCACAGTAGTGAATGTGGTCTTGCACAACTTCTCAAAGGCGTACGACCGGTTACACCATAACCTTCTGCTCTTCAAACTCCAGACCCTTGGTATTGGGGATCCTCTTCTTGGATGGATCAGTAGCTCTCTTCTACACCGGTGCCCGGAAGTACTTGTGCGTAATTCGTTGTCAGATCCCATCAAAGTTGACTACGGAGTATCACAAGGATCGGTAATAGGACCACGCTTATTTTTGGCGTATATTAAAGGTATCACAAGTACCATAAGCTCGAACTGCCTGCTTGATACCAATGACATCAACCCGTGGAGGGCGATCAATGCACCAGATAATATCACAGTACTTCAAGCTGATCTGGATAGGGTATACGAGTGGTCAATCCCGAACCTACTTCGATTCAAAGTAGACAAATGTAAAGTGCGGCACGTACAGCACAAGTTGGTGCACTCCTACAAACGCGGCAACCAGAAGCTTCAAACGTCTTCTGGTGAGAAGAATCTGGGACTTTCGGATTAGACCGACTTTGGATGTTCGAAGCAGGCTGTAACGGCGTCTAGGAGGGGCATCCAACATGTTGGTCTCCTGAAGCATGCATTCGGACCATCCGACACTTCCATTTTCCACAATTTCCCCGCCCATACATACGGTCACATATAGAATAGGCAACACAGATCTGGCAGCCATGGCCGAGGAAAAACTCACTGCCTTGGAGGTACCCCAAATCCGGGTAACCAAGAATGTCAGGAGTCTGTATCATTTGTCGTAGGAATAGAAGCTACAAATATTTGTGGTCTTCAGCGGACAGTATCGGTGATTGTGCGGGGAATTCATTTTGACTTTTCAGATTCTGAGAGATCCCAAACACATGTGCCGTTTCTTACTAGAGCTCAGTCACAAAAGCAATTTGCGAGGCCACCATCTTAAACTGGCAGAGCAGTACAATCGATTGGAATGCCGTCGGAATTTCTTTTTCGTACGCTTTCCCCGTACGTGGAATGCCCTACCGGAATCTGTCATATGTGCTCCCACGCTGGCAGTTTGAAGCCCGGGTTGTCCGTGCGCTTATTTCGCAGTACCATCTTACATGACCTATTACCCATGGGTAAACACAGGTGTCTGTAAGCGATTTCACTGACGGTCAAATCATAGGTTTCATTCCACGTTTTTCACCTCATCTATATGTACATTAGACGGAGGCACGATTTTTACCAACATCTCACTTGCCGTCGTTTTTTGTGGATTTACCTTAGATTTACAGCTTATATTACACATATCGCAGTGAGTTCACCGGTGTAAACCCAATTTTGCTAACAATTTCTATATTTTGAAGTTTCACCATGACCATCCTACGGGATCTGTTAAGCATTAGCTTTTTTACCCGTATAAAACCATTGTTCCACCTATCAGGTGCATAACATCGACTTCGATCGATAAACACGGTGATTTATTTGCCTGTTTCGGTACATTTCCTGATAAATATGGGTAGGCGACTTAACTCGGCCACGCTCTTACAAGTGTCGCATCCACCCCGGTGTTAGCGCTGCTTGCTGAGTTGCGTTCGTTTGTCCTCTTATTTGCAAATCACTTATTTTCCCTTTACAATCCTGTGATGTCACTGAATGATGCATCGATTACTAAATTTGCTAACGAATATCATTGGGGTTTCTAATGTTAGATCCCAGTAAATAATCTTACTACTACCACTACTATATCAACATATCTTTCGGGTCGACTTAAGTACTCATGCCTATCAAGTGAAAGTATGCCTCTCACAATTTCCGTCTCCTAAATTACTAACCCGGCCAATCAGGTTTTAACCTATCTTTAAGTGGCCGTTGCGGGAACCTGGGTACTTGAACGTGTATCCACTGACTTCCGAATTTAGCTATTTTTCCCGTCTTCCCTGTGCACTCAAATGAAGATTGCTGTGCTTTCTGGAAACAAATGCTTACAATAGAAAGTTAGATTAATTGACTTGAGGATTACGATAAACGTGGTTCAGCAATAACGGGAATACTACCTTCCGTTAATCTCGAGCTGATAAATGACATGCGCATGAGTAATCCTAGTTAAGGAAGTATGAAGTATAGCTTCATGTCCGAGATGACGAAAGCCGAGTAGAAATAAGTTTTCCTAGGTGACAAATTGCACAATAGAGCACAACTTTCAAGCTGGAAGTTTCGTTAATGTCTATTTATTTCTTACCGCATAAATCTTTCCTAGACCTAGACAACCTCATTAAGAAGGCTGAATTTCCCGAACACTTTACTAAAAATATTCGGATGTACAGGATAATTTATACTGACCGAGATGAGGTAAATGGTTTAAAGTGATGCGGTCACTACCTTCGACAATCTTTCAATAAAGGGAAAAATAGGATTTTTAGCTACATCGCCTTATCATTGAAATCCAAACTTGGCAAACAGTACCGAGTAAGGTCACAGGAATGGTTTGCAGGTATGTTGTTTTAAAATAAATTAATGCCATACCACCGATTGTATAATTATAGCAAGTTACTTAAATGCACAGGACAACTGGATGGAAGTGCGAAATGGATGCCAGGCTTTTGCTTGCGTGTATTCGAAGTAGAGAAGCAAACACAGAGTGTAGCCAGAAGACCAATCCCAAACACGAGAGCCAGGTAGATATGTAGGTTAGCGAGTGAGATGTAACATTTTTGAACAGTATACATTGTTAGCGCTATGAGTACTCGCCATGTGTCTGGATTGCGACATGCCATCTCATTTGAAGCCACGGTTTGCTTTGAAGGAATTCTCTGCCATATCGATCATTGGGACCGTATCCGCTTTCATAGAGGGTTGTTGTCTGTCTATATACATATTAAATTTGGTCAAAATGATAAACTTATAAGAAAGGTACGCCGAGGAATATCAAACTTCATAACGTACTACATCAGTTGATTACCACTCTACATACTGGGAGAACTAAGAAAAAATGACATTTAGACACGTAGGCATCTGTGTGGGCTACCCGTCATAATTATGGGATTTAGTCATTTGAGTTAACACGTAAGGTGTTTTCGCTATATCCCAGTTAATACATCAATTGTAGCAGCCTCTGATACCGCCAAATTCTAGTTAGATAGCCGCTTGCTATGAGGAGGATTGCGAGATAAAATCCTCCAGGTTAGAGGAAGGATTGCATGTTGAAAGGACCATAAGATGCTGAAACGTCTGTTTAGCACATTTTGTCATGTCTGGTGTCTGTCTGACTGGACCTGATTGCGATAAATCTATTTTGTCATATTGTCGTGCAATAATAGTGCATCTGGAGTTCTGAACTGACTGAATTGTAGTTCTCAAAGAGCTCTACACCTATGTCTGAGAATGCAACGAGAACCAATGCAGTATCAGGTTTGGCAGTTACATAACCAAAGTTGGTATTTATTTACGCACTTCATCATTTGTGCAATTAAACCACGGTATTTTTTGAACAATGTATGCAAGCCAGGTTCTCAAGGTAACTTGTATAAGGATGAGCAGAGACTGCCAAGGATACCGAAATGCGTGCAGCAAAACATTGACCAGGTGCACGCCTTAGTTAGTGGCTTACACGTCGAATCAGGGTGGTCTCAGTCAATGAAGTTTCATTGTTGACGTGAAGAATGGGAAGTTGTGAGGGATGGAGTGGTTGTGATGACGCTTTGGAATGTTTAAAAGTTACCGGTATGACTAATTTAGAAACCTGTGGTCTATTCCAATCTGAACTTATTTTATTATCGGGTGAATTTTGTGCGGTTGATAATAAGCTTGTGGAACGTATTGTTCGCTTCGAATACTGTTCCCCACGACCTGTTACTTCCCTAGTGAAACCCTTCAGCAGAGGGTAATCGGGTCTGAGAGTAGAAAGTGGGATTTCGTGGTCTTGCGGGTCGACATTTTAATCACTGAAATACTCAAGCACGCAAGTACGTGGGTACCGGAAATCAAATCGTGTAAGAGACCATATCCGGGTACTTCAAAAATTTACAGGGAATTCCCAGTGGATGTGAATAGCTATGCTCACGGTGCTCGCCGTTCTACGGGTGAAGACCCCTGCCGGCTATCTCTGTGCCTCGGATTCGATTTTCACCTTTCCTCAAGAACACTCATAAACTGGGACTAAACTGGATGTACAGCGCCTTGTCGGGGGCAAGCAAAATCTTACCCATAGCTACTTCAAGCGTGAACTCAGTGGCTTAGCTCGCAGAGGTTTACTTTATAGCAAACCGAAATTAAAGCCCAACAAATACGGTAACTGTCTGTTCAAAAAGCCTTCTGAAACGATGACTTTCGATCGGTTTCAAGCGTATCCATGAGATTATATTGTGATTGCATTTTGCGACAAGAACACACAACGGGTGCTGTAAGGTAGGGTAAGTCTCGTCTCTGGTCAAATGTGCAAACAGCTACGCAGCAGACACTTCGCAAACCACTTACCTGCGGAATGCCGGGATACCACTGGCGTATCGGATTAACCTTCCTTGCATATCCACCGAAACGATTATGTTCGCAAAATACCAGTACAGGTTGGTCAACCCGACAACAAATGCGATCACCATCTGAAGAATAATTTAAAGTTAATGATGGTTTTGTTTCACAACGCAACTAAAAGCTTATAGCAAAATAACAAACCAGCTAAACTGAGAATCTAGTTATACGCATAAAATTTTAACTTGCTTATCAAGCGGCTAAGAAAAGAAACCGGATCGAACGCGGCTAGTTATTATGTATTATGGTTATAGAACTGCCGGTATTTACGACTTGTTTTGAATGAAACCGGAACAGATGTGCGTTATAATAACAGCTGCTTAATGTGAGCACAAGCTGAAGAGTTATAGGGTACAAAACGAAATGAAGTTGTTCGAGCGCGGAATACCTTTACGGATCACTCAACTGTTTAGCACGCTTTGAGACAGAAGCCTCACACCCACACATAATTTTCACCATCCTTCTGAAACAGGCTCAGCGTACAAGCATGAGGTAATTTTTCCTACTGTTCCCACTCGCCAAAGTAGCAGTATTAGTCACTGTTCTTTTACGTTGTGGAACTGTGTCCTTTAAGGAGAAATGGTATTTTCGACAAAGAAAGCTCAGCCGAAATGACAGCAAAACTAGCCTATAGAAGCCTCAAGGTATATGATTAGGTCGTTACCATAACTAACGATGCTTCTGCGCAACGGGACTGGACTTTAAGGTATTGCGACGGTTTGCATACCTCCTTGACCCATTGAGCTATACTGGGTGGTGCCTCCAGGCACCTTGAGAACTACTCCTACCAGGTTAGTCAATGGTGATAGGTCAGACAAACGCAGTCTCCTGGTTCTCCACGTTGGGGTTTGAAATGGGATGAGGTCCATTTCTGTAAAAGTAAATAATTGCCATCACCCCATTGCCTTGCGGACAAGCTTTTGAGCCAAAGGCTTTGGATGAGGATATTAATCGTCCTCCTGTTAGGTCTGGGCGCCCTGGCAGTATCGCAGCCCACATACCACCAAGACTTTTTCTACCAATATAAACTCCATCCTACACCGGCCGTCGCGCAGCTTATCAAGGGCCGCCTTATCTGCTGCGTACAGCAGGGCGGATAAGCGAAAACACGCCACTTCTGGCTCATTCTTTCTTTTCCACCTAATTCTCCTACTCCCATCCCGACCCCCATTACTAACCTTCCATCTATAATTCCCAGCTTAATTGACAGCAACCGAAGTGACACTGGAGTAGACCATCTACAGCCACCTTTCCACAACACCTATCGGATGTCTATCGGCAACAGTCCCTTATAATGCCACACTCTCCCGTCTCCCTGGCGGCGTTTAACGTTCGCACTCTATGACAAACAGATCAACAGAATGCACTTACACGCACCTTGGACATACTGGGTATTGACGCACGTTGTGTATCCGAAACTAGGATAAATGACTTTAATGGGGCTGTTGAATTGACTGCACCCGGCTTCTTCGGTTGCTATTGGTTGTACGCATCCGGAGACGCCGATGCAGCATGGGTCAAGCTGGTGTAGGTATCATTCTAAGTTCCAAGGCTGAGCCATTGTTGGCCGATTGGATCCGGTGAACAGCCGTTCATGTGCAGCCCGTTTGACGACGTCAGCTAAGGTTGATTCACGAAGTAGTACCAAAAGCTGTTTGTTTGTGATTTCCGCTTATGCTCCCACTGACTGCAGTTCAGTTGTCGTCAAGGACACATTCTATCACGAACTGAACGCGCTACTATGCAGTGCTACTAGTTCAGCTAGTATAGTACTTGAAGAGATATCAACACACTAGTACTGCGTCCGGGATCTTTAGAAGCTCAGCTGGGTGGTAATTATCGGCGTAACTCCGAACAGACTGACAACGGCCATCAAATGTTTAAACTGTGTGCGGAGCACCAGTTATTTCTTATTAGCACTGCTTTTCGGCAGAGTGGGCGCCGAAGTGCCATTGACGTCCGCCTGTAGCTGGCCAACGACGGACCTTAATTGACCACATAGCCATAAGCTACAATTGTCGTGGTTTCATCCTGGATTGCCGCTCTTACTGGAATCCCTAGCGTCGACCATGCCTTGGTACGTTGTCGTTTCTCCATGAACTTTACCTGCAGGCACACCAAAGGTCTGCTCTGATTGGCAAATGAGAAATTGTCTCGGCCCTCGGTCAGGCAGGCCTATCAGGACGCACTGTATACCGAACTTTCTCTGTCTTGTTCTAATGACACTGAGCTTTAGTGGAATAGGATCTCGACCGCCATGCCATGTGCAGGATCATGTGCTTGTGATACTATCAGTCGTCACCGCACCAGTCAGTGGATATCCGAGAGGTCGTTGAACTTGTTGGAAGCTAGAAGAAACCTCCCGGCTGGCTCTGAGCACAATGTGACCAGGCGGGATATTAGGAGCGAACTAAGGCGAAACTTACATACTGACAAGGAAGCATGGTGGACCACCCGGGCTCAAGAAACGGAGGAGGCAGGAGCAGTAGGCAATTACCGCAAGCTCTTCCAGCTAATCCGCACCACTGGTCCCGGAAAACCAGGCGTCAGTGAGACAATCAGAGACAGCGCGGGTGCAATGATACACAATAAAAAGCGCCGTATGGCTCGTTGGGCAAAACACTCAATATCAGTTCAGCTGGCCGCTGCTCCCGGACCTCCTACTCAGGTGATGCAGGACGAACCATTGAATGTTAGATTATTGCGTTTGTCGGAGGCTGAGGTCCGAAATGTGATCACAGCCCTCAATCGTTTTAGTGCTGCTGGCTTGGATCCCCTCTCACCTGCACTATTTAAGGATGAAGTCCTCTGCAAAGTACTGATCTCCCTGTTCGAACGTATCTGGAAGGAACATTGTCCTGGTCAAGTGGAGTGAATTAATTATAGAGGCAATACACAAGAAGCGAAGTCGCATAGACTCTTCTAACTACAGCGGTTTTAGCCTAACGCCAGTTGTGACAAAATTACTGGCCTCGATTCTTGTTCGTCGCCTCATTATGGGACGGGAATCTCGGATTAGGAAAGAGCAGGCTAGTTTCCGCCCAGGACGTGGCTGTATAGACCAAATATTCACTTTGCGACACGTGGTAGAGCAACTCCACACATACTCTAACGGACTAGCTGTGTTCCTTGATTTCAAGAATGCGTTCGACTCAGTCGATCGATCCATTATTTTCGACATACTTGCGCGGAAAGGCGAAATATGTGACGATCCTTTGTGCTCTATACTCGAACACTACAGGCCGCGTGAGATTCTGCGGGGACCTATTGGATAGCATTCCGACCACAAGCGGCCTACGTCAGGGTTGAACGATTTCCCCATTTTTGCTCAATTTCGTAGTGGATTCTATCATAGAGTGTTCCCTTGCGGAATCTCACGATGTAGGTGTTGGTGTTGTCCGGTGAGAGGTTAGTTGATCATGATTATGCGGAGGATATCATCTTGCTTTTCGATGACGTTGCGGCGGCACAAGCAACCCTGAATAGCCTGTCTAGAGTGGTCCCATTATTTGGTATGCACTTCGCACCTTCAAAGTGCAAAGTGTTGCTGCAGGACCACCAGCCACTTTATGACCCCTTGACGCTTGCTAACGAGGAACTCGACGTGCTTGATCAATTCATTTATATCGGCAGCTGCATCAGCTACGATGGGCGCATAGAAAATGACGTCAGCTCACGCATTGCAAAGGCCAGAGCTGCCTTCTTGAAATTGCGGCATCTTTGGCAACAGAAGGGACTTTCCCTTCGTATGAAAGGCCGGGTATACAATGTCACAGTGAGGGACGTTCTGCTCTATGTTAGTGAGACTTGGCCCTTTCGGTCTGAAGATCTGAGACGCCTTCAAGTCTTTGATCATCGTGGTCTGCGAAGCATTGCCGGTCTCGGATGGCACCAACGTGTCTGCAACGATGATGTGCGTAGGCGAGTACTAGGTAGTGATAAACATGAAAGCTCCCTAGAACAACAGATAGCACTGAATAAGTTGCGTTGGCTCGGGCACGTGCTACGTATGTCTGGTCACCGCTTATCTAGGAGGGCCTTGTTCAGTCTACCAGGTGTAGGGTGGCGCAAGGCTCGAGATGGACAGAAGTTGACTTGGCAGAGGGAAATGAAGTCACTGACAACCAAACTGGGTGCCGTTGGTCCGTCTCGCCTTCCGAGCTGGAGTCCAAGTGACTCGCCTTGTGCTTAGCTGGAGAATTTACGGGACATGGCTCGCAGTAGACACCAGTGGCGCGTCTGCTGCCGTCTCCTAATCGGACTGCCTGTTTATAGTGTGTTTAGTGCTGATTTATCTGCGGGGTAATGGCTGATTATGACGTGGGGCAGTGAAAGCCGCAAAGAAGCTGTCCTGCCGATGCCGCCTTATCTTTGCACGATAGCCAGCTGTTTGTGACGGTATGTTGTTGACGCAAGGTGTAGGCGCCTTGACCCTGCATGTTTGCATAGGACATTAGGGTTTTCAGGTAAGTCCCCCTTCTCTCCCTCTTCTCATTCTTTATTTCATAGGTCCTCATGGTTGTATGGCAGTGAAGCATCAGTTCAAATGACTGATGTACTGCTGTTGATGATGATGATTGATTGCAAAGGCAGGGAGGCTTAGCTTCCAAATATCTACTCCATTTGCTTGGGGCAATCTAACTGCTAGCCTCTTCATGTAAATCCTTCTCGTTTCTTTGCTTTTATAACCCCATCGCGCATTTTATCACGAGTTTTCTAAGGGTTTCTTTTAGCACTTATTGTGTGGATGATTTCCACGCTCCTGAAACAAGCACTTGTTAGAGTTAAGTAACAATCAAAAGCCCTCCAATAACAATGCGCTTTGTGAATACTGTATCATAGAGTAGGTAGGAATGAATTCGGTACAACTCTTTCGAAATATGTTGAAAAACGTTATAAAAATTGTCAGCCGCGAATATCGTTATCGTTGTCATGTAACATTTAAACTAGCTGACTCACGGTATTGCAGGACTCACAAATGGGACATGTCATCGTAATTGTGCAATGGTTCGCTGAATCGAATAGTGGTAAAATATTAATCTACCAACGTTTTGAACTGCTGCACAGATGTTGCCTCCAACGCATGTGCTGGCAAACTGTTCCAACTATTTACCATTCTCCGTTCGAAGCACAGTGAGTGGGGAACACATTTCACATCCGGCAGAGCAAGTTTGTATCTGTGTCCGCGTATGCTGCATGGCCCTCGTAAGTGCAACATTGGCCTCAGCATGGGGAAGTCACCGAGATGTAGAATACGGTAGGTCATAATGAGGTCGACAAGCACGCGACGGTAGGACAAGGTGTAGAGTCCTATTTTCTCGCACTGGTCTTCGTACCCCAAGCCACGTAAACTCGGGATGAGCCTGATAGCAACGCGTTGGACCCTTCCGATCTTTTGTGCCTCTCCTCGGGTAATCGGAAAGTAGACGGGCGAACCGTACTCTAGCATTGGTATAATGATGGAAAAGAAGAGGCGAAGCGAGGTCATATGCCGAAGCTAATTTTGAGCGCCCAAAGCATGCGCAGTCCGTTCCGATATGGCATGTTCATGTTGTCCACCGACTTCAAATCGTAGCGCGAGAGTACTCCTAGATCCTTCACGGAGGGTGTGGGATATAGGGTTTGGCCGTCAAGGGTGTATGTTCGGCCGTCAGCATCCTTCCTCACGCTCATAAATACAGACTTGGCTGGGTTGATCGGGAGATGAACTTCTGCAGACCATGTGGATAGGCGGTTGAGGTCTAGCTGAAGTAGGCCACAGTCGTCGGGAGCGTCAATTTCTCTCCAAATCTTCATATCGTCCGCAAACAAGGCACACGGCGACCGGAGAGGCTGAGGCGGATCGTTGATGTGGATCAGGTTCAGAGATGGCCCCAGCACAGTGCCTTGAATCACGCCAGTTTTAGAGGGATACCAGTCAGTTAGATGGTCGTCTACCAATACCCTTCACTTTAGACTAACAAGAAAGTCGCAGATCCACCGGTGCAGTGAGCCACCGACACCACACATCCTGAGTTTGGGAAGGAGAACCGCATGACTGACCTTGTCGAACGCTTTACTGAAATCGATGAATATCACGTCGATCGACTTCCCCTTGCTTATTGCTTTTAACCACTCATGCCTCGTCACAAGCAGGTTTGTAATACATGAGCGGCCTTGCATAAAACCGTGCTGTGCGGGCCTTAGGACCCCGTTGGACTGTAGCAACTGCAGCAATCTCTTCTTCACGATTTTCTCAGCAACGTTTGCCAAAATAGATGTCAGACAATTTGGCCTGTAGTTGTCTAATTCGCTAGGGTCGCCGCCTTTCTGAATAGGCTTTCCTCCCCCCCGAACATTTCCAGTCAATCGGCGATGAACCTTCGCACAGTGACCAGTTGAACAGGTCCGTCAAGACAGGAGAGATGATAGTCGAAAGTGACTTGAGAACCAGTGAGTGAATCCCATCAAGTCCGGCAGGTTTGGTGCCGTCAAGATTAGCGAGTAGTTGACATACCTCTTCAACGCCACAATCCAGATTGTCGAGTTCGGTAGAAGCGGTACACGTCGAACTCGGAAAAAACACCTGGTTATTCTCAAATACAGAAGCGAAGTGCGCGGCCAACGCGGACGCACTCTCAGTGCTGGAGGTTAGGGGCTATCCATGCGGGCCATCCAGCACTGGCACATCACCTGCCGGCTTCATGCGTCGCTTCACGTAAGGAAAGATTCCCTTGGAACGGTCTTTACGGCGATTGCGAGCTGCTCTTCGAAATGTCAGCGTTTATTCCTTTTTGTACTGTTGCAGAAGTTCTGCTGACTTTTATACCCTTCGTAATCATTGGCAGAGACAGCGAGGAGGAATTTGTCCCACAGTCTGCGCAGCCTCCGAGCCAGATTTGCATACTCATTGTCAAACCAATGAGGCTTAATCGGTCCAATCTTCTGACATTTCAATAGCACGAATTGGGAACAAAATGATGTCAATCTCTTATAAATATCCAACCGACTTCCACAGATGCAGCTTGTGACAGAGATCAATCCAGTTGGCTCGCGGCTCGAGCTAGACCATCGAAGTCCGTTTTCCAGTAGTTGTGAGCTGGTTCCAGCGGACGTGAATACGGCAAAGATAATTCCATATCAGGTATGAGCACTGAGTGGTTGCTTGTCGTCAGTGGCTCCAGGATACGAACGTCACGCACTCGTTGTTCGTAGCTCGTTAACATCAGATCGAGATAAGACGCGGTTGAGCGTCTTGTTATGCCTGTTGGCTGACATCTGTGTTGTGATGCCGCAGTTTCAAGTACCAAATCAAGGGACTTTGCTTCAGCCTCACTATGTTCAGGCATCAAATGCACATCAGGTCATCGTATTCGAGGACAGTTAAAATCGCCCATAAGTGGAAAGTGTGGACGACTCATGTGGGTCCGAAGAATGGGCAGCCAATCCAAACAACGATTTAGTGGGTTGCGAGGGAATGCGCCCACAAGTGGTTCTCCGCGCCTGAGGCGGATGGGACACAACAGTAGCTCATACAAACCATCGTCACTTCGATAGGTGCTCACAAGTCTCGAAAGCAGGGAAGACCGGATGTAAACTAAGACATCAGCGTGGGCATTCTTTAGTCTAACGCACTGGAAGCAGGAGTAACCGCTGAGTTAAAGTTTCTGGGTGTATAACTCTGAATGCAGCCATGTCTCTGCGGGTCCCACTACGTCTGGCCGCTCAGACGAAACAAAACAACAAAGCTCATCGCGCTTGTTCATAACACTGCAAGCGTTTGGGAAGGCTACTCTTAGGCTGCAGCAGGAGCCGCCGGGCGTGCTTGAAGTGTGCGCAGCCTGCTTATCCTTATTCGCAGATTCTTGGAAATCACCCGAAGATTTACGATACGAAGATTTGTTTTCCCTCACCAGTACGTCTTTTTAGCTCAATGATAACAGACTTGAGCCGCTTCCTGTCTACTGCGTCCAGTTCTGGACGAATATGGATATCCAAACCTTTCAGCCTACTTAGGCGGGACATGATCATTCTTGAACGGGCTTCGTCCACCAAAGTGATTCTCATAGGCCGATTTTGTTGATCATTGTGCTTTCCAAGACGGGTAATTTGCCTCACTTTTACCTAGTCCTCACTAGCGTCGAGAAGCCTGTCAATTAGCCTCTGTAAAAAAGACATCGTGATCGTAGCGTACTTGAGTTGATGGATCACTGGACTTCGGCGCGTGGAAGATCACGGGGTTATAGCGCCTCTGGTCGGACGAGTTTGACCTTGCCAGGTGAAGTATATCACCGGCCTCACGTGGTTTGGCTAACTGTTGACTTACAGAAGTTAAACGCCCAACATCTCTTCGTAATTTTGTTCTTTGTTCTTTCCACTGGTCTTCGGCACTCAGACTTTCACCTGCTGGGACATCAGTGCCCGTTGGACACAACAAAGATAAACATTTTATGCCAGGTGCACTGGGCTTCTCACAACGGTTGGACTTCGTGTCGGTGAGTTTGCACGGGTAGAGGAGGAAGAGTAAGTTGAAACTATACAGAAGAGCATATAGTTCACTCAATACAATGAAGCAATCGATGGCCATAAATCAAGTTACTGGATTAGACCTATTTTGCTGAGCTGTTGGGCCATATTCTACTTTTGAAACGTACTGAGAGAGATTTCAGCGAAGGATTTACAGCGGCTTCATTACAATAGGAAAAATGAAGTTACGTGGCACAGTCTAAACAAATCTGTTAATTTGGATGTGCATTATTTACCGCAAAGCCCACAAAACGTAGCGAAAACGGTGTGCATAAGTTAACGTTTTACTTACCACACTGAATAACGCCATAAATCGGATGATATCGGACACCATGCGAGCCAATGAAATCTGTAAGGGGCCTAACAGTTCCCACGCAGGCATTAAATGGCTAATGCGTGCGAAGGATAACACATTGCCCAAGGCAAAAAGGCAATCGGACACGTATTCCGGATCGTCCGGTGCCCACCATAGGCGACCTGGCGATAAGAGAAGACAAAATTATTTAAAAATAATAAGTGTTTGAATTGCTTGAAAGGAATTCATCACAAACTAGAGTAAGCATCAGGAGTATCAATGAACAACCAGTACCTCTTCCCGACGTTTCATTGTAGTGCGAAACCTCGTGCCCCGCTCATGGACGCAGATACACCATTCTAAACGTGCGGGCCTTCGTTAAACAAAATGGCGAGTTGACCAAGCACTTATTCATGATATACCGCAGTTTATCAAAAATGACCAAGTAAAACAAGTTGAAAAGATGGAAACATTGATTTGATGAACAATGAACGGATGAAAAACGCCTCATCGTCATCCCAGTTTTACTAGATCAGTATAAAGGTTTAGAAAAATGGGATTCGAGTGGCGCGCCACGTGCGAGCCAGTTACATATTCTGCGAGTGCTATTCGGTGAAACCGCATACGAACCTGAAACCATTGAATACTGTATAAGGATTTAATGACATCCAGGAGTTAAGACGTATGTGTCGACAGTTAATCCGTGCTTCTTGAGTAACTGGTTGTAGAAGGCGGAGGAATTCGGAGTGAATTGAGTAGCAAGTATAAACTGCAACAGGCCTCCAAATAGGACATTAGTTCTAATGCATTTTAATTTACGAGCGGCTGTTAGTAGAGAATTACATTCTTTCCTTTTGCATGGCTAATGTAGTAGCCGTTCGTCAGCACCATGTAACTAACGAGTTGGGATAGAGGATGGTCCTGGTGTCGACCAACAGGCGGCATATATACTGTTCGATTTCTCACTGTGACTATGCTCCCTTGTGTACCGTTCGTGAACTGCAATGAGGCATCGCTTTATTCCCCATGGAAAACTATTCGTTCGATAGATTTGCTGATGCAAAATTGCGAGTTTCATTTCCCTCCTTGATTACGTTGCCTCAGGAACTCGGGATGGTATCGGTTGTGCACAGTACTCGCACAAGTATTAGGCAGGCCGTTGCAGTCACTGGCTAGTCTTAGTCCATGTTAGACCTTAGGGTATACTGGAACACACAGCAGGCATCCAGCTCCCCACCATTTTCGGACACATACAACATAGGGTATGTAATACCATTTGCTACTGTTAGGCAAGTGTCCTATTTTGTTGCAATATCCTAGAGGTGTCAATCCCTATCTCTACACGTATGTGAGCTGTAACCTTGTGTGAGACAGTTGGATGTCAGAAGATTAGTCGGAGTCAATAGAATAGCCGTCACCAACCAATAAGTATTGATCGAGCGTTTCCTCTGATTTTGCTTCATTGGCACCTCGCGTTATTCTCTACTAGTAAAAGAAGTGGTTCTGACGAATCTTCTTGCTTTCCTCAGAATCACAGTGCTAAATCCCGGCAATTTGCAACCAACGGGGAAGCATTAGAACGCAGTGAGCTTAATGATGGTTGAACACGGACGCCAGACACCTAATACCTTTGGCAGTGATGTGCGCGACAGTCTGACGGGAAAGTTTAAGATCGGGACTGAAACGTCAGTTATTGTGAACTCTGGTCCGAATCCAGTTAGGTTCGGAGAAAATTTGAAGCTAAGGAGTTTTGTCAGGGGATATAAGCTTTAAGCTCGTTCTTCATATGTATTTGATGCTCGAATGATCTTTTAGACCTTTAGAATACACCGAAAGTTTATGTACTGCGGAACAGACAATGCTCGTCAGAGATGGCAACTAAAACAAGGAAATGCTCACTGATGAAGAAAGTTGCAGTTGCGGGGGTCAGTTCTGCTCTCTCTCTCTACAGTAGTGAATGCGATGCAACTGATAGGAACACCAGAGTATCGTTTGGTTCAAGTTGCAGTTCAAAATTAAAGTACTCACTTTAATCTAAATGGAAAACTGGTACTTTGATCTTAATGTTCGACATTTCTAACTAACTATTGAGATTAATTCAACTTTATGCAGCAAAAGTAAATTCAGTTAGGTACAATGTTATAGTTCCGCTTAGAATGGAAACAGCCGAGCAGTTGTAGACAGCAGCAGTCAAAATGAGCTCATCTGGTATTAGGCATACATTATCTCCAGCGCCAGATATTTGGGTCTCTACGTAACCCAGCGTAGTAACTACACACAACTGTTCCCATAAAACTGGTTCGTCAGCGGAATATAGCACAAATCTTTAGTGCCAATCGGAAAATGTATAAACACGTCAATCGCTTCAAAATTTAGGCACAGATTTAATTTGCTCCGGACGGGTGATGACCCGACACGTACGGCTACAGCAGCTGCAAATGCATTGCGGACGCCACATGTCCCCATATTTCTGCGGGTTTTGTTATCAGGCGATCTACAAGTTTGTTGCTACCCAGCTAGGAGTCAGATATGTCCGTTACGCAGCGGAAACAGTCTTCTAAAGGATAACTACTGTGAGCCGCCACAGCCTCTTTGCAGTCGATAACATCCACACAAGAGCACTGCGAGCAGCAGCAAGGCAACTGTCAGAGCCTTTGGTTCAGCTTTTCAGCGTTGCTGAACCAGGTTCCCGCCATGTGGAAACATTTAATGATTACTCCTTTTCACAAAGAAGAAAGCAGGACTAAGTCCTCAGACTACTGACCAGTATCAATTTGCTCTGCGCTGTTCATATTCATGGAATCCATCATTACTGATACAATGGTGGTCTAGCTGCAAAACTGCATCATTATTGCTCACGAGTAGCACGAGTCCGGTTCACCTCGATCGTGCGCAACAAATCTATTGGTAGCGCGGAGTCGCTAGACTGACTCAGCTAACGAAATCAGTGACCATCTCTTGAGATGGATTGCCAACCTACCCCTTCAACTGTAATGAATAGTCAGAGTTCAGAGCTCTTTATCCGACTCCCTACGAGTCGAGTGTGTTATACCTCAGGACTCAGTTCTAGGACCACGTTTGATTTCAATAATCATTAGTGACTTCACACAATTAGTCGTTTCAAATTTCTTACTGTGTGTCAAGGACATCATCACAGGTCTCAGGCTAATACCGACTAGTCATTGCTTCACTGTGACCGAGATACGGTACATCAATGGTCAACCCAACATATGTTGCAATTCAACACGAGCAAATGCTGGCTAGTATCCGCTTGACACCAGAGCATAAAATCTCGCGGAATCGGAATGCAAGTGCTACAGAAATCTGTAGTAAGTGACGTGAGCGTGCTGGATCAGGATGACCTGCGTTGCTCCAGACAACACAAAAGGGCATTGAAAACTGGTAAAAATATCGAGCGTTTGCTACAGGCGTTCTGATCTACAGAATTTCCGGAAAATGCAAAGTGCGTATGTTCGTCCCAATATTGAACGCGCAACTAAAGCCTGACTGCGACAACTAAAATTCGAATTCAATTAACTGGAGCAGTGTCAATGGACTACTCAACCTCCCACTGTTCAGGGACAAGTATTTATTCGACAGTGAGGGCTAAGTGAAAATTACAGCCTGTTTAGCAAGCCAAACTCCCCGATATAAATTGCAGGTTCAAGTCCATAACTAACGACCCTTCTGAGTCGATGAGATTCCTCCTTTGCTTCAGTTAAACAGACGGTTAACCACTCACACAAATATCGGCCAATTCGAGCGCAGTAATCGAATGCGTCACGTCCGCCTCCTACAGGCTTTTTGGCTTGCTCGGTTGATCCATCTGCTCACTCCGATCTGATACTACCATCACACCCTCACGAGCAGAGGAGGAAGCGTTTTGCTTATTTAGTGGATGAGATCGCCGATTAGGAGGAAAAACACGATTAGCCCACTTGATCCTGCACTATCCAAAACATATACACCACTACTGCAATTAGTTCAGTCAACAAAGTTTTATCACTTAGCATTGTCATTCCTTCCCGCTTGTATGAAATTCCCTGATGTCGTGGAACCAAATGGATGACAAAACTGCCACCACATTAACACGTAAAAAGTAACTCAACTGTTAACAATAAGACCGCTAATTGTGTTTAACGTTTTCGTTATCGTACCGGACCACTTGGCGGGGCTAGTAATGCAACTTTTTATAACCAGCATAAATTTATTGCTTACTTCCTTTCGTTGTTCATTTGATAATATTGGCCTCAATTTGTCCATGTTTTATCATGAAACGTACATGTAAATACTAATTCAGATTGTACACAGGTTGACTACACACTGATCAATGCAAGGTCAGCGTTATTTTAAAGATGGAAAACTCGCATTGGCTTTGTATTCCCTGTGCGAACAGTAAGAGTTGGCTTAAACCGCTCGCTTTGACAAACAGTGCGTATTTTACGAAGTCGAATATTGCATCATGCGTGTTCAACATAGCTTTAAATATTTCGTGGTTCCTTTTGGAGCATTTCGTTATAGATTTTATCACGCGCTGTTCTTTACTCAGGATCCCTTCTGTGTAACATAACTGATGACGACATTAAAACATGGCTGATCAACATATAACCAACCGATTCCACTAGGTTTGTAATTACAATGACACCAAGTGAACAGTGGATCTGCTGTTGGTCAACAATAGTTGTTTCTACAAAAACCAATAGTTAGGTCTAGTCATTATGGCCCAGTAGTCCACTAGCATTCACTAACTAGTTGGAGGTCCACGCTGTCCCAAACACACGAAGTTATTGATTTCAATGAAGCAAAATGGCAAGTAAGTGACAGTATACATCGGACGATAGATATATGCTAATATCCTGGGATGCTAGTAAACAAATGAAGGACCCATAATAGCACTAGACACCACAAAGCAGATGCTACAAGACGTAAAAACCACTCTTTAGAAGAAGATGGACTTACATCCCCGGAGCCAGTATGCTGATGAGGAAGTGAGAATTTGATTACGATATGCCACGTAATCATCGTGTATTGTGGGCATGGAATCTGAATATGGGCGAGTGGTGGAGAGGCTGGAGTTGTCCAACAGACCTTGAGCAATTCGTAGTTCATTTATATACATGGCTCGTGCGGTCTGAACTTTAAAATCCACAATAATTCTTAATGAGTAGGAGGCAAGGTAGAGCGCGATAGCAGCCCAGTCCATGATGTTGTAGTAACTGCGAAAGAAATACCGCAGTCCGTAATAATACACTTGTTTGCATTCCATTCCCAGTTGACCTGATGGGCGAGAAAAGATAAAAAATCTCTACGAGTGTCAAAATCAAGGGTGTACACCTGAGTCACAGACTTTATACTGCTTACTAAAATGTCAATACATGGGTTTGAAAGAAAGTAAATGACACACTAATGTCTAAATGACATTTAGTTTGTTTTCTTCAGTCCGCTACGAAAAGCTGCTGACCAAAAAGGAATCCTCATGAGGTTACAACAAGGAATCCATAGAACAATATTGTGTCATAACTCACCTGCACAAGTGAAATATATACCGCCACCACGAATGGGACCATAGGTGTTTTCATCGCAAGCAGTATCTCTCCTTCCAATTCGACTGATAACCTTTTCCTATAGCATAGCATATTACTATTTTGGTGAGCCCGTTAACCGGAAGGATATCCTAGTCCAATAACTCTCCTCCCATAGCTACACAAAGTTTTGCGATGTATTATTGCGGAGGTGCGCACGTGACACTTTAAGGGAAGTCACAGTATAGTGTCACAGCAGCAAGGAATCTGCCGGAATCGGCTCTGTACTAGAAACTTACTGCCGACTGGAGCAAACTAGATGGAGTGAGTCGATACAATAGTAGGAGTTGATGTCATTTATCTGGACTGCTCTAAAGCGTTCGACCATATAGATCACCACATTCTTATTCACAAGCTTCGAAGAAGTGGGATAGTTGGCCAAAATCACAAGTTGTATAGGCAAGTTCATCGTTCAACGTCAGCTGAGTGTGAGAGCCCGCAGCGCCATTTGCGACCCCATCGAGGTCAAGTGTGGTTTTTACCAAGAACAGGTACTAGAAGCATGTTTATTCCTAGTTGTCACCAATGATCTTGCTAGAGTGTTGCAGTCGGGCTTCCTACCATTTGCATACGATGTCAACATCTGGCATGACATCAAGACAGTGGAGAACCACACGGGACTGCAGATAGACCTGGACAACATCTATACATGGTCTTTCAAAGGCCAATCTCAGTTTACTTGAGCGGAATGCAAAGTCGTGAGCGCACGTCATCAACGTGCGCACGAACATCAACTGGAAGAACAGAAGTTTAAACAGATTACACATGGAAGCCATATCAGCATAATGGTGTAGCATGAACTTTGTTGATAGATACAGGCCAAAAAAGGCGTAGTGAAGAGTTCATCAACACCTTGGCCTCTTACGGAGGAAGTTCAAGAAGTTCGAGCTTTCTATATTTCCGCAAATACTGAACTCCTACGTGATGTCTCTTGTGGAATAGGTGATCCGAACTTGGCGCCTCTGGAGCGAACACGATGTGAATGCATTTAAAACTCCACTATGCAGAGAGAGGAAAATTGTTAGATAAATATTTCTCTTTGCATACCAAACGCAGACCACGGGTCTTAAGCTAATACAGCGATGAAAACCGACGTCTGCGATGCGGTCCGTATCAACTATTAGTGAACCCAATCACGCTTGTCACAATCTGTTGCAAGTCAGACGCAATACTAAATTATGAGACCACCAGCTCAAACTGGCTACTAACTATAGTCGAGTTGATTGCCGAGCAAACATTTCGCCCTTCGGGTATCTTGAACCAGGAATGCTCTTCCAACTCGTGTATTTTGCACACGCTAACGCTTTCTAAAAGACCGTCTGCCGACACACTATCCCAGTTACCTTGTCGGATCCGCTCCGTTTCAGTCGGAACACTAAAAACCGCAAAACAAACAGCCTGCTCACAAGCTCTCCCGTAACGCAGCGGTAGCCAAACCTGCATCACCGTTTATGTGAATAGCTTGGTAAGTCACCTAAACCTTAAATTTTCCCTCTCTCCGTCAATTTTTCTACATTGGTCTTTTAATCCTCACCGTTGTCATCCAACAGGACTTTTGGAATATCTGATCCTTTGAAAAGCGCCAAAAGAAGACGAACGCAGGGGACTAATTGCTTTAAACGCTTTTTATTTGGTTGTAAATCAGTGTTCATTGTTCATCAGTGCCTGCAATGAATCAGACTTGTGTGTCAGTAAAATAATCTAAAAATTCCCGTTTGGGTTTTGTTTTGTTTTTGTGTTCCACTATTAGCGGTGAGCATCACTGAAATTACCCGTGTTCTACTATCCCTTTAGTAACAGTCAGGATAGGAGCAGGTGCACAAGGAGAAAGGCCGGGTTTCTTTATCACAAACTGCTGCATGTTAAGAAGACTGAAAATACAAGACTGTAAAGCCAGTCGCTGATGCGTTGCTGTACCTCTGATTCCTACGCTTTTCATACTCTTGTTAGAAAAGTACAGAATTGACATGCTGTGGTAGCGAAATGACGTAGCGTGCTGGTGGAGGACTCCGTGGTAGGGTGAAGTTTTCACAAGAGTGAAGAGTAGTTTCTATTAGAGGCCGTAGGAAAAGTTAGGCCATGAACAGCTTGGTGTGCGAAGGTGCAGCAGCGGCCTCAACATAGGGAAGTGTGCCAGCTGCAGTGTCCGGTGCGTCATTATGAAATCCACTCGAAACCGACGATCTGACAGGGTATACAGCCCTAGTCTACATCGGTCCTCGTACGATATACCCCGTAACTGGGTTAAGCTGGGTAGCTACATACTGGGCCCCTTTTCAGTCTCTGAACCTCAACTATTGTGATCGAACGATAGGCGGGTGAGCCGTACTCAAGTGCTTGTCTTATCATGGAAGAGAACATACGGGTGGCAGTCTCTTCAGACCAAGTGCAGAAGCTGCGCCGAAGTGCCCAAAGCAGGCGTAATCCTTTCAAGTACAGTCTGTTCGTGTTCTCGACATACTTCAGAACACAAAGTGAGAGTACGCCTAGATCCTTTACGGAACTGCTGGGATGCAGTGGGTGGCTGGCCATGGTGTACTTACGCCGAATACCATCCCTCCCCGGGATGATAAACGAGGAGTTAGCCGCGTTGACTAGTAGGTTGACTTCTGCAGATCACCGGCATAGGCCTTTGATGTCCTGCTGAAGAACGTCACCATCGACAGGAGAATCAATAACCTTCCAAATCTTCAAGTCGTCTGCAAACAGTTCCCCTTTGCGACCGAAGAAGCTGAGGAAATTCGTTTATGTGGATTTTGAATAAAACGGGTCTGAGTACTCTGCCTTTGGGTACGCCGCTAGCAGAGCGGTAGCAATCCGTTTGATGACCATCCACTTGAAGCCGCCATCTTCTTCTAATGAGGAAGTCACTGATCCACTGGTGCAGTGCGCCACCAACATCACACATCCTCAGGTTATGGAGCAGGACCGCATGGTTTAGTTTATTGAACGAGTTACTGAATTCAATGTGAATAACATCCACTGACTTCTTCCGGTTCGACGCTTGCAAACATTCCTGCAGCATCAACAGCAGGTTGGTGAAACACGAGCTGCTCCTCGTAGAGCCGTGCTGTACCGGCGTAAACCCTTTGTTTCCTGGCGGTACTTATAAGGACCATGTTGTTTAAATTGCAATGTTGCTTAAATGCAAGCCTTATTCTTGACGGTATTCACGTCAACATTTAAGTAAGGAAGTAAGAAGTAGCGAAGAAGCTTGTTTTCAGTGGATCATCATCAGGCTAGTACAACCACAACTATGTAGGTCCAAAATGAACACGTGAATCACAGGCGTCAATAAATCAAATATCTCATCAATAAGCTTCTGTGATTAGGCCGACCTGTGTGGAGTCGTGGAGAATGGCGTGATATGTCTGCTTACTTGTGTCGGTCTTGGGTCAGGGTAGACAGTGCATCTGCACAAAATTCTTCTGTGCACACAACTCCGGGTTATGGAGCCGAATTGTGATTGCCTCTGCTGTCGATAGCAGAAGATACACTATCTGAGGAGCTAAGTTTCCTCCGGAGGGTTTTCGAACGCAATGGGTACCCAAAAAAATTCATCCAGAAGCATATGGAGCCGCAATTACCGAAGATGAAACCTGCTTCCGCAGAGAAGCTCTCAATATATATTTATCGCTACCATTTAAGGATGACGCGATAGCGCAGCGAACCACCCGAACGCTTACGCTAGCCACTGCCAAAACGTACTTCGCAGCCGCCTTCCGTGTAAGCTTCACCTCAACACCAGTTGTCCGTCAGCAGCTCAAAGACAGCATACCGCGGTCGCAATTTTGCTACTGTGTGTACAATTTCTTTTGCTGGTATAGAGCAAGGTATAGTGGGAAAACGACCGGGCGACTGTCCAAAAAAGTTAGAGAGCATTGTCCTGCTTGGCTGTCCAGTGGTATGAAAAATGTGAAGAGTGCAGGATTATCACACTTAGTGGATACCAACCACAAAATCAACACAAAAGATTAATTCCAACCGATCTGTTGTGTGCCAGGACGCCACACGGAAGCTATCAGATTCCGTCTGCTATCGACAGCAGAGGCAATCGCAATTCGGCTCCATAACCTGGAGTTGTGTGCAACGAAGAAGTTTATGCGGACGCTCTGTCTACCCTGGCCCAAGACTAACACAAGTAAGCAGACATATCACGCCATTCCCCACGACTCCACACAGGTCGGCCTAATCACATATGCTTATTGATGAGATATCTGATTTATTGACGCCTGTGATTCTGGTGTTCATTTTGGACCTACATAGTTGTGGTTGTACTGGCCTAATGATAATCCACGGAAAACAATCTTGTTCGCTACGTCCTACTTCTAATGTTTTCTCGGGATATTATTTCATAATTAGGTAAGGGGCAGAGCTCTGACACTTTGCTGTAGATTGTGTAGAGTTAACTTTTGCGGTTCATGTCGTGCGTGGTTGCAATTTGCTTTTAGAGAACTGTGAGGGGTTGCTCTACTTGATAAAATTTATTTGGTTTTGTTGGAGCTTGCCATTTCTATTAAAATTTATTTATTTTGGTAGTGAACATGACATGAGTAGGTATGTCTATTTTACAAATTAAGCATAATCCGCATTACAGCGATGAAACATAAGTTGGTATCAGAAGTACCGCCGGGCATCAAGCAGAATATTAATAGCTAGAGCCTTTACTGAGCAAAATGATTGGGGGGGGGATTT